CCGTGATAAATTTAAATTTAAAGACTGCAAAAAAACACATAGAATTACTCCTGGAAAAGGTAAAGGTGTACGAGATCAGCTTGCACCAATGCCCTCAAGTCGAAATGTTCAACTGAGTGGAACTTCTGACCGGACCAGATAATGAACGTATTTGGCTATGCTTCGTGTTCCATAGTTTAAAGATACAGGCTGTCAAACGTCATACAGTCACAAAAGACCCTTGTTATATAAGAGAAGTTAATTAAAGGGCCAGATATATGCCAATATTCCTGCGGAAACGTGCTTGCCACTTTCGCTCAAATACGACTGGTGAGTGACATAAGTGTACTTTATCCGCGATTAGTGTACATGTAGCCTGACTGTTAAAGTTTCAAGGTGTAATTTTTCGAAAAAATTCCACACTAAAACATACTGTGAATTCCAGCCGAATCAATACCCTTAACATATAACTTCCATAAGTCATCATGATTTCATAATGCAGATATGCTCAGTCCTAGAAAAAGCCATTTACACTTGCTTGACATTGGGTTGGGCTCCTAGGCCGGACAGTTGTGTCCCAAGAACCCTTTTGTTTTTATACGTCGCCTTTAGAAACATTCTGGTTTCTAGGGCTAAGACTTTAAAGTTTATGGCAAAACGAATGTGATTTCATGATTACTTTGCGGAATAGCATTTGCATTTGGTGGAAAATTCGTTTGAAGTGAATTCACTCGCTGTCTCTTTTGCACAACGATCTGATTGTGACTATTTGTTTGTGGTGACACGAATAATAATCACCAAGTCATACTGTCTTTGAGTGGGTAAAAAAGTATCTTTTACATCTTCCGCTGAAGAAACTAGATGTGCACACAATTTCGATGACAGGGACCGGCATCCGATTTGGACAAGGCGAAAGCCCGCGAGGTTGACCGCCGGGATACTCGAGACCAAATCAATTGCGAGGATGAAACTAAGACGAATATAGCCTCAGGATGTCTTTCAGAAATCCCTACTTCGTTTGTTTTTATGACTGCCTGTGCTGCTTACGGCATTCTGTCTTACAACATACATTTTAGATTTAGGGCGACAAGTTTTCATCGAGCCTGTGCATATCTGGTCAGATTCTACTAAAACCGTAGGGTGTAAATTTTGAACTGCTCAACATAATTGGCAATTCTTGGGACGGTTGACTAGCATATATTTCATGGATTGAAATTCAGTACCATTGTTTCTGGTAGTCATAGATCAGAAGGTAAGGACGGCTTGAATGTCATAAATCGGGATATGGTTCAGCGCGGATGCATGTTGGGAGACATTATTCAAGCACCTGACACAATGTATTAAGGTTGTCTCCGAAACAGCCTAGAGGCGTAACTGAAAAAAGCACTGAAACTTGCACTTACCACTCAGCTGAGCACTTAGAAATTTCAGCCCCTAACAGCATCTTTGATTTAGCTAGTCGCGTAGCAAAATGGTGTGTGAACCCCCTCTCCACACTCAAAAAGCTTACTTTTAGTCTGAAGTACAATTCGGAAGTCGATGTTTGAAGGCAATAAGACGGAAACCAACCAATGAGAAGAAGCGATTTTCGTTTGTGTTTCACTTTGTAGGACTTCCAACCGATTGACCAGTAGGGGTTCATCTGGTTCCGAGTTGTCCACCACCATATACGCAGTGCAGAAAACCTCTTTGTTTAATATCTTTCTCTAGAGGGTTGTTGGGTAGCGACAGAGCTCCCTGGTTTAACAAGGGGATGTGGGTAGGACCTACTTTTATGGTATCCTACTTAGGCCTAAGGTAAAATGCCAACAGGTCGGTGTGCGTGTGTCAATCTATTTTATTCACGTGCGTATGCGTAGGCCTTCGGGATTTTTAACTGGTTCCGTGATAACCGTCTCGTATACGCCAGCTATACTGTGGTGTTCAGTGGTGCGTCCACCACTAAAATTGTCATCCTCGTTACTGCTATGTACCTGTTTGTATAAATGGTGGCAAATTTTATCCCAACAGTTTTTCGAACCTAATTTCTATCCTGACCGTTAAAACAACAATATGGATTCGTCAGTTCACCGTAATCACTAATTTCGAAGTGAGATTCAATCAGGCTGAGTGATTTCAATCAGGACAAAGAGTGTAAGGTAACTTCGATAGACTCCTAAATAAAGGAAACTTATTAACAAGACCACAAGCTCTAGATATAGGACACTCCCTAGCGCAGAACCTATTACACGACAGCAACATAAAGCCAGTTTCGTGAAACGTCTTCACGGGGACTTTCTCCCTATTGAGAAAATTGGTAGTTGTGAGATGTCATCCACAGTAAGTCAAGGCACCTACCTCAACCAGCAGGACGAACTTGAAAACAATCGCTGTTTGAAGTCCCAAGTCGTCACGAAGTTCGATTGCCAGGATGCCATTGATAACTGACCATAATTCGAACATGGGTCTGTCTGCACATCCATTTCAATATCAGTAATCTCAGCTACGGATTCCCCGTGCCAAATAGCTCTCCCTAAAACCGAAAATGAACCAGTCTTTACCATTTACATGCTATTAAAAGGTTGAATTGGCAAAATCTTCGGTATGGAGCTTTTTCCTTCATCAGTTGCTACTCGGAATGATCAATTTTAATGTCTCAATCGTATGAAACTCTCCACCAAGTTGATCCATGACCAATATGGAAAAGAGTTTGTGATTCATGCAGAAAAACTTCTTTTGAAGTCGTTTCATAGGAGAACGAATGCTTTCCCATGCCAAAGCGTTTCCCATAACCAGCAATAATACACTCATTAGGCATTTTGAGCGAAAGGAGAACAAAGAAGCGCGTAACTTCATGGGGCGGTTTTCTTCTACATGAGTTGTGTTCACTTTTTCCGATTGAGATTCCTGATGGATGAGACAAAAGAATGGCATATAATATGTTTCTCAATAAAACCATGTTCGAAAATCCCACTGACGCAACAATCGTCTTTTCCCGTTTCATTCTTACAGAACCTAGCGTACAGTGACAGTCAGGTGGTAATATTCAGCATCAGTGCATTGTTGTGCATGATGGTAAGGATCATGATGCCGATATTTTTAACCAAAAGGTGAAGTAGTGCAATCTGGAAACTCCCTCAGGGCATAAGTACGACTTCCACTTGGTTAGAGGATTAACTCTCCACTGAGCTAATAGTACCTGTGTAACTAGAAAATTTTCATTTAATTTTCTAACCTTTACTCCTCCCGTTAAGTCCCCCATATCACATTCTACCAGGCAAACCTGCCTTCATCTTCTACCGATTTCCTGAAGCCCGCCTCAGTATCCAAGCTCTTTGAGTCACATCTCACCTCTCAATAGTAATCATGCCCTAATCAGTTCCTTTGGAGGATTCTACTAGCGAATACAATGTTATGGAATACACGATTGACCTGCCTTACTTTAGCTGATCAGAATTTGATTTTCATTGGGCTGACACCGAGAAAATCAACAAACGACGTGTTGCGGTCCGTTAGTTGTGCTGACGAAAGGCAAAAATGGTTAGATTTAGGGAAGTCTGTTATGTTGTCAAGTGGCTCATAGCGAATCGACGCCAAGGGCAACAGGCGAAATACCCTGTCCATAGACCACTGACTGAAGCCTCTAGAATAACTTTGACTCCGTATGAGGTTACCTTTGCATCACTTGTATTCATTTAAGAAGCCCAGGGAATCTGGTCACAATAGCAAAACGGTCATTATCCCAGTGAAATTTCGGAACTCGAGCACTGACTAACTTGCATCTGGCCCGGTTAGCAAAAAGGTACAGACAGGGAAACTGGTCAGACATAGAGATTTGTGATCGAATTAGGTCCACAAATTAGACCAGGTCAAAGCTTCAAGGTGACATCGAAACACCTATTTCAAGGGTAGGTGTGAACCTTTCAGAGAGATTTGTTCACCAAACCTGTACAAAAGTTAATCAGTTACTTCCCTCGGATTTGTTCTCTACCCGTAATTTATTTTGCTTCGTGAACACCAGCTGGATAACTTCTAGTGATGCATTATGGATCCCAGCTAACTAGACTTCAATGAGGAATACATGGCACTCCCCCACTAGGATTGACCAGTTATATTGAAGAATGCCTCAGCTGGAAAACTCAACAGTTTTATTTATCATCACATTTCTGCTTAAATCAATTATACAGACGGAATACGTCTTTTGCCGTGCTACACACTTCGAGAAGCATACCTGGAAATGTACGTTTCCGTGACCGTGCATAAAAGTGATGACAGGTAACTTATCTACAATCCCAATAGCTGACGAATGGCCAAGAAGATTTGCTGAATTGGATCTCTTTCATCAACTTGACTGTTACAAAACTAAGGAACCTTTTAATGAGCTGACAGGCCTGTTAGCTTTCTTTGAAGATCAACGCCAGTTTGTTGTAGCTATTTCAATAACCACGACCGTAACATATGATAAGATAGCAAGTTGCAGTAGCTACTGACTAGTGGTCCGAGGTTTTTCGCAGTGAGATGATTTATTTGCCACAAATCCTTCGTCTGCTCACTTTACCTGACAGGTTCGGCCAGGCCATTCCCATTAGTTCGCTGCTACGTTCGTGTTATCGGGCGTTCTTTGGACATTTGGCCACGACCTCATGACATCCAATCTGCTCTGAAGGTAATCGTAAATACAGTTGAAACTTGCACAAAGGGAATTCTCGCGTGGGGTCGGGAAGGACGGATAAAAGTTTCCCCTATCCAAACTCGCCAGAGCAATGACGAGGACGAAGCACTGAAAAAATTGCGTGGTCGAGCACAAAAACGAACCCAAAGCACCTCCCGCACTCCATCATGTGAGCTATTCTGCGTTGTTTTTCTTTGCATGTTATGTACCCGAGGGATAGATTTCCGACCTACACAAACGCCCTTTGGACTGATATGATGGTTGTTTATGAGGACTACTAAATATGGGTCTCATATTTCTGATATCTAGGTTTCACAACGTTGATAACTTTGACTGTAAAAAGTGTCTGCCACTGAATGCCATTTTGCAGTGAATCATCCAGAACAAGCTCCAATAAAATTACTCCCCACTTCCTCCAATGTTGTCGACGTGGATTTGATCAGTAACTTATCCCAAAACTCTGGAGGCCGAGCCAGCGTTATCGCGCCCAGTGGTTCGAGGCGCTCAGAAGTCTTACTTCCACAGAGTGCCTCCGACGAAGAAATTCCGCAGCGTACCAGTGTTGGTGGAGTGAGCGTTGGACATGTGAGCCTAACCTCCATGGGGGCTGCGCCCATCGTCGGAGTTAGCGGTTCCGTTCCCGGAAGTACGAGTCCAACTTCCACTGAAATGGAAGGTGGAGTAAGTATACCCTTATCCAGTTCACCTCACTTTGGCACATTCTCTAAAACACATCTTCCACTTTTAACGCCAAAGATCTCATGGCTTCGTGATTTGACGAAATATGCCAACAAGACTGATGAATCACGGAGACCGTTAAGTTATACTGGAAGTAATAAATAAATAACTCGATGAGTTGTTTGCTATCAACTCAAGTAAGACTGATCAAATGTGGCTAGGTGGTAGTGCAGTTTAAGTACCGGTAGCTCGAAGGTGATGCATTTAGTCCTTACCCGAAAGACTTTGGACTTGAATGCTCTCCTGGATCTTTGTGATGCCCATACCGCTGATTATTCCTAATGTGAATTAATCGATGAACATAGAAAATTTTTATAGGATCACTTTCAAGGTAAAATTTACGTCTGAAGTTTCATATTCCTCTGGCAATCCTTTGGAAACTTCTCTATTGCTGTATCTACAATAGACACTTCAAGCCATGCGGTGTCTTGCCACATACATTGTGCGCACTTCTACGTCCGGTCAGGCATCTACTTAGCATAACTATGATTTCCAAAGAATTGATGACAAATCGTCGATTCATTTGTGCTCTGGGGCGAATCACGTGCGTACATAAGTGACGACAGATCAGGTGGAATTTTCTGGCCTTTGTATCGCATTCAGAGGTCGACTGGTCGTGTGGCTTTGTCCGTGACAGGACGAACGACAACATTTAACTAGAACGAGAGGTTTTCTCAAATCGAACTGAAGTTGACCGAGTGGATAAAGAAAAACATGCAATGGATGAAGTACGACTGCCAATTAAGTTGCAGTCAAGGGAAGACTCAGCTTAATCCCATCTGAATCTTCGTTGGAACATTAGGTTGACAGAAACGGGAAGACTTCGACCGCCTGATGAACCCAAAGAAGGAGGAAACCGATCGTGGGCTGCCGAAGAGCAGTCAGCAACCTCATGAGTAGTGTGGTTCGTCAAGACGATGTGCTGATATATGTCGAATATCCTCCCTAGTAAAACATGAGGCGGTCTTCTACAGCACATCCATAAACGGGAGATTCCGTTTGGATCCAGCTATGTATGTCGTTAAAGCCACATTCGTCTGCACATGAGTGTACTTCACCAATTGCAAACAATTTGGTTCAAGTAAAGCATAAAGTTGACGGAAACTCAGGGACGAAGCCTACTTGATAAGCCCCAAAAGGGACAGAAACTGAACGTGGGCTGTCAAAAAGTTCACGACAGCCTTGAAAGTAGTGTTCCGTCAAAAATATATACTGCGATGTTCCTCTGTTTTGCTTAGTATTTGTCTACGAATTGACCTAGATTGATCTGAGTCTAGGTCTAGTCTAGGAAGTGACAAAAACTTTATGAAACAAGACTTGCTACAAGCTGGAACGTCGCATTAGCGACAGCAGGGTTCGCAGATCGGTTGTCCAACTTTTATATGGTCACCCGAATTTCAAGCTGGACAGAAGCGCGTGATTACAGTCTTTCATCGACCAGTGTTAAAGAGTTTTGAACAATCCCATGACTAGTTTGTTCCGTCGTTACCAATTGTCTTCTTTGTTCACGGCTGAAAGCAACAGTTTGTGGATTTAAAGAGGGATGTACTGACTGTTTAGCATACAGTAAGGAAGTTAAATTTGGATTACAAAGGCCGAGGAAACTGGTGGTGAAAAACCCTGTTAACTTCGGGAACAGACAAAAATATAGAGATTACTCACCACAAAAAGAGAAACAGTCTAACAGTTGATGTCCTCGGTGAGCCGTAATACATTATATATCCTGAGGAATTTGTTAACTGGGTTTTTCTGTCGGAGGACTTGAAATCCTGTGGAAATCTGGTGAGGAGTGCTCGGTGCTGGTCATACTGACCAGAGCAGTTGGTAGCGACTTCGTCATAATTATTGAAATCCGAAACCATACTAACCATTAAGAGGTATAAAGTAAATGGAATCCCTTGAAGGAAAACAATACTCGAAAGTTTGCTGAAAACACTTCGATAGCCCACGACCGACGGCGTCCCTCTTTGGACTCATTAGGTGGCTGCGGTCCCCGAGTTTCATGGTTTGCAAATAGGTGCACTTCGGTAATTACGTACTTTTCAGTGTCTAGGTAGAACATGAGGTTAATGGAAGCGAGAAATCTCTGACGACCTGATGAACCCCAAGGAGGGCAAAGGCAGTCGTGGACTGTATAGGAGCTTTTAAGGCAGGGTTTGTCAGCAAATAGCTACCCCTGTCTGTTCAGTGTGATTCAATGAAATTCAAACCAGCTTGTCCCGCCCTTCAAGGGACAGAGGGGAAGAGTAGGTGTTTTTCTACCGTTCAAAGATGAAGATTTGGCCAATGAGCTCAGGCACAAAGTGATACCCGCTGTTATTTGGGTGTATCCGGTTGCACGGCCGCGACTAATGCATATACTAGAGAACTTACACTGCATAGGCGGGCAAATAGTTCATCCGTTTATTCTGCATCCAATGTAGTCTATTATTCATGTGTAGTTGTAGTGATATAAATTGGCAAAACAGGTTGACGCCAATCCTCTTCAGCGTCTTAACGTATCCAAAAATGGCTGATGCCGACCAACCAGCTCTATGTGCACAGAAGGTGTTGAGTCATATCCCATGGCACTGATTATGTGATGGATAGTACACACTCAGTGACCCGCTTTTCGTCTTGTTGCATACGTGATCTTGCATGTCTATGACTAAAGTTAGGAAATAAATGTTACCACACTGTAACATGTGTCTTCTCTTTATCTTGGCCAATCGGACAACCTCTGGAGGCCAGGTTTTCATGAGAATGATGGCTCACGTTCCAGGTCAAAATATTCAGTATGTTGTGTAGATCCCCAAATGCTCATTTCAATGCAGTTACTGTGGTCCTTTTACGTCCTATGATCGGAATCTACGGTACAATTCTGTGGAAAATTGAATACCATGCCCTCTACCATTATTTAATGCTAAAACTCTGAATGTGTCAGAAAATAACGTACTATGCACACTTTATGGTGATGAGTATCACGAACAATGACTGTGGGTCATCTTCACTTAACATTCGCCTATCCCTTTATCTATTACGAACAGAAATCAGGGAAAGGTTCGTCCACATTTGATGTGCGTGCAAGTAAGTCAAAAGTTCATGGTATGTTGAACATCGTTCATTCCGCATCCGAGTTGTCGTTACAATAAACTTTTTCGACATGTTTGCAGAGGATTCTTGAGTGTTTTTCATCATTGGAACCCGGAAAACCCGGGCACGTGACAAGTGGCGTCGCAACTCACGAAATGGACACAAATCACTGGTAACTTCGGCTGCATTGCCACTCACTCTAACTCAGCGTCAGCTTATATCAACCTTTCCTGATTCATCAGGTGTCGTGTGAAACCTGTTGCCCTGTCTTGGCTAACCGGTGGCCAATCAGTTCATTGACTCACAACGTTGCAGCCGTGTGCTCCGAATTTTCAGAACACTTGTAATCTCCTAGCTAAACGTTCACGTTGCATATGAGTCCAAAAGTGTCTTCCAAATGCCTAATCAATAAGTTCCGTCTTCAGTTTCTTCCACGAGCTTAATTCCATTTGCCAGCATTGCACCGAACAGACAGGCTAGCTTTATGATGATGTGTGCTATGCTCGTCATAGCATGTCAACGCCGTAGAGGCTTAGTTACGTCTATCATAGGATGAGGGTGAAAAGACTGCCATATCCTGAATCCCCGACGATGACTGTGTATTTCGTTTTGTGTGTTAAGGGCGAACAAAAGTTCATTAGCAGTGATCATGCATTTGTCAGGGAGATGCAGTCTTTTCCCAGAGACGTCACAGATCACAACCAGAAAGGTCAATCTCGTGTATACATCTCAGGTGATGAGGTTATCTTAGAAATCAACTGGGCAGCAAAATTGGAAGCTGTGGAAGANGATGACAGGAGTACGGAAAGCAAGTCAGGGTGAAATATCCTCAAGATGCTTTTGAATCGGGTCAGCAGCTATTCCACAACAAGCTATTCCGACATCAAAAACGTATTTCCTGTTCCATGTAATCGGAGTGAACCGGTTCTATTAGCTGATGTCACCCAGCCTGTCGAAGCAACAATTTTTATCATGCGACATTGAACCATTGGAAAGTTTTAAGTACCATGCATCGTTTTCCTGAATGGTTGTTGTTTATGCTCTAAAGATGGTACCACCTGATTCGTCTACTGTGCCCTACTCATGTGCTATTAGACAAAGTTTTGTGTGCCTATCAATGGACCGATGGATAATACGGAGCACTCCACTTAAAATAAGGAGTTCTAGCGTCCGAAAATCAATGAGCCACTGTCAAATCCACATACACTCACAAGGGACTCGTAGATACTAGTCAGTACCTCCTTTGGGCAACGTTTTCCCGGTTACTGTAATGAGTGGAGTCAGAGCTTGCCACATTGATCCCCGATTCTAAAGAATGCGTTCGACGATTGTTCCCACTACTACAGAAGTTTTCTTCCATTATTCCAACATTTTGAAGATAACTGGACTAGCCAGCGCATGAGCTAACAATTTCCATAATCATTTTATTTATGGTAGTGTTTACCCGTTTTCACACAGCTCATGGAGTGGCGTATTTGGTTCAAAAGCAGGGTAAGGTACAGTGAAATATAATGTTGTCCCTCGGACGGTGGGGGGGGGGTAGTGGTTTAGGATTGTCATTATATCAGAGTGAGATCATGAACAATACATAAACGGATCACCTCGGTGTGAAGTAACACAGAGATATTGCCTCCACAACTAAAATTTCACAAAGATGTGGCATCTCAGAACCAAATTTTACGAGGTCTGAGATGAAGTACTGTGATATTTAAGTGACTGCGACGAGGTGTTGTAGTGTCTTGGACTGTGATCTCCCGAGAGTAAAGTGTGTCACAATGTATTGTTCACGATGTAGGTATGACAATCTCCCCTTAGAACAGTTGCAACTGACTATTTTGACTAACTCTATGTCCGGACAATTTTAAATTGAATTTTCCCACTCTATTTAATGTGCTTTTACTTCTGTTTGAAAATTTATCTGCTGGTTGATGTCTTGCTGAGAACGGTTTTTGCCGAATATTTCTATTTTGATGTACCTTTCCCTGTTCATCCTTGACTATAGCTTCTTTGGCCCTTTCAAATATATGCTTGTTGAAACAAACCTGACAAATTCACTGTAGACTATAATCTATTCTCAATAGGTTAGCGTGAACCTAACGTGATTTTCTCAAATTATGCGTCGTTCTGCTCGGTCAATTGGATGGTTAGGCGTTGAAACCAGAAATGGATGAACACCAAATTTTCAGCAGTCTGATGATTTCAGTCCAAGACACCATTCATTATTCTAAATGACCTCCACTCTAGTGATGGAATCAGACGTGAATGAGCAGCCGGTCAACTGCTACCGCGAAGTGCACACTGATCGTGAAGTATACCGACTCCGGACCTTCCTTGTGACCAGCATGCTACAAATGAAGAAAATTCTTTTTTCTCCCGACGGTAAGTGTGGACCTTTTGTTTTGTTCTCGGATAATCGACAGTTTTGCTAGTAAGGTAGTGCCATAGCAAAAGAAAAAGCCAAAGCAAAAAAAAAACAACGAATACTATTCACGTACCCGAATGACCTCCCAGAAAACCTCACAAAAAGAGGGTTCTCGCGTAATTGGTGTGGCAAGACTAGCAGAAATCAATCAATCATGCATTTCAAAGGGAAGAATACTGCAATATTTAGACCCTCTTCGTAAATAAACTCTCAAGCAGACGCTTTTGCTTCGTATTCAACTGATAAGTATCGTGAAAAGGAGTCTTTCAAAGCTTATCCAAAGTCCCTGTTCATAATAAGTTACTACGTAAATAAGTTACTGAGGCGAAAAACTGTATGATGTGAATTCCGCTAGTACAAAGCGAAATGGGACTTTTCTAACGAACCCCACCCCACGACAATGTAAGTTACCTTCGTTTGCTGAATCCATAGGAACAGTGAGTCACTTCCCTGCCTGTCGATCAGGTGCACGCGCACAGTCTGCCCTCGTCTGCACCCAACAGAGCTTATGCTTGCTCGTGCTGGTGCGACAAGGTCCATGTGGTTTGTAATCCGTAGAAAACTGCAACGCGTGGGAAAAAATTCAGAACGACGGTGACAGCCTATTTGCATAAGGCAAAACACATCAAAGCCTGCTGTCCACCTGAATTTAAAAAAGTTTGCAACGTTTGATTCAGCAGATACTACTGCTACCACTGCTTAAGATAATATGATGTGAAAGTCCATTCCATGTGTTTACAGTCATCCTGCGTCGACGGTTCGCCCGCAGCATCTAGAAGATGTCGAGATGAGACCAGAGACGAGGGTGATCAGGCATCTCCACAGAAAACCAGTATGTGACATCGACTCACCACATGTGATTACTTCAACCCACACAAATGTCAGCACTATTTCTGCCCGTATACTAATTGGGAGTGACATTCAGGATCAAAACTAATGAAGCAGTTTTTTTCGCAGAAAATGACTGAAAAATACGCAGCGTGTTGCACAGTCAGCGAACCATCAACACCGTTCGAGCCGCAGCATGTGTGCTGAATGCCTCACGGATCCCACACCATAGTTTGTAAATTGACTGCGTTTGCTTAGCCCACATCCATTTTAAAACCCTTACCAGCAACCACTGTACTGCTTCGTGTCATTTGCCGCTGAGCGAATTGCCTGTTGCGCATAATATTAGAATGAATTTGAAGTAGTGACGTATAATGCAATCCATGAGATGGCAACATTTTAACAAGTTATCGAAATAAAGTTCATCTTATATTCGTAATGCACTACTCATAGGTTGCTGAAAATTCGTCGACAGCCCAACACCGGTTTAACCCCTCTTGGGATTCATCAGGTAGGCGAAGTCCTCGGGTTTCCGTCAGCCTTATGTTCTACTTGAAACCAAATTGCACGAAAGTAGCGGAATACACTCATCTGTAAACAGAGTGAACATCGTCTGAAGAGAGTGAATTCTATCATTCTCCATCGTTACTGAATGAATCCAGCTATGACTACTCTTCTGTGATTCTATCGTTGAAGACCACCAGAAATATACTGCACGAGTGATTTATGAATTTCAGAAGAGAAACGTTTCATCCTAAGGTGTTCTACCTTGGGCGCAGATATGCAAATTTGAAAAAAATTCAGTGTAATCTTTATCTGGTTTTGAATGAATGACTGTTTTCTTGAGAAAGGTTTGTGACGGAATAAATTCAAGATGAAAGTATTGATTTATTCTAAGGTGTTAAATTTATCTATTTGTAGGCACAATTTACGAAGTGGACAGCCTGACGGGTTACCTAGATCGGTATGCTTCTTTATGGAAAAGAGATTTGAATGTGGAAGTTGAGGAATTCCTCTCGTCCTCACCGACGATGCACGACTTTCAGACCAAATTCGAAGAACTTGATGAGATTAGCAGGAATCTGGAGGAGGAACCAAATTATTACGTGGTCGGGGCGATTTACATTTCCACAGAGGACTTCAAATCCGTGGTTCGAAACAATCTGATGCAGCTGAAACAGGTGAGTTTGTGATAATTTCGGTCAAGTCAATGAACTGGGGTATATTGATTACCATACATGAGCGAACAGCTTGTGCTTAAGCACGCTCCAGTGCATGGTGTGAAATACCTGAATGAGCCAGACTAGAACTGTGAGCACCAGAAAAAGGACCTAGGAGTTCAGGTGCGATCGGGTGCAACCGAAACGCAGTCGGTCAACATGCCCCTAGTTCGGTAAGGTTCTCTGTAGATCTCTTTCCAGAATGAACCACTCTTGGTTGTGCAAACACCGTTCAGGCAATGTAACCTTTGTAAGGCTGATATTCCTGCTAAATCTGTGGGGCGACAATAATGTAATATTCCCCTGAGCTTGTTGCTCACCTTACAGATGGAAAGAGCGAATGTGTGCGGTTTTCCTCCTCGATAGTATCACTCATGAGGGTCTGTGAAAAGTAATCTTCTCATGGACTGGGCATTTGCTTTGTTTTATTGAATGTGATAAAGCGTCTGAGAAGTTTCGCTCGTCTTTGTTGTCGCTGGTCATGCCGAGAAGCCGGGATTCACCATGGGGATGCGAGGTACGCGCTGCTGACAACATTCGATAAGAATGGGAGGCCTGTGCGGGGTTTTTCGGCTCTTCAGAACAAATCGACATTACTTGCATGACGGAGAGGTTCTCGAATCTCCTTGTGCTATCAGTAAAGTGAAAGTTCGCTTCCATGCGATTATGACACTCTAATACTGGCGTCTCTCAACAAGTATTCAAAAGAAAGTGACGTCTTTACAGGGGGCGCTTTTTCGGTGGAGAGGTTACTGGTCCGAAACTGTCGGGTTACTGTGCTCTTACTTCCACTTGCGAGAGAACGAACTGTATAAACACAGCAAAACAGCAAAATAACTTACCGACAGAGCGGTACTTTTAGTCATTTACCTGCTCAAACCGTTTTTGCATTAGGTTCCGATGAGATCATTTATTATCACCGCTTTTAGGGCTCGATTTTTCAAGCCGTGAACCTAGTCCTTATTGCAGGTCGTCCGATGACCGTAATCCCAAGTTATGAGCGCCAGGAGTAACGTGAAGGCCTTTCGAAGATGTTTGTTCAGTCGCACTGTATGTGTACTTCTTATTGGAAACTATGACATAATTCAAAGAGAAGAAGAATCAATCGTTGGAACGGCAGTGCCCAATGTCGAGTGTTAATTTCACGGCGATGTGGTCATACCACGAAAAGTTCTTTCTTATTGGAACTTATCAGGTGGGTGTGGGTGGGTCGGGCATATGGTGGTTTGGGTAAGTGTACCAGGCTTCACCCTCCCAAACCTCTCCCTGAACCACTTGTCCGCCGGGCAGTTTGTGCAGCTGATGGACTTCCAATAGATGTGAATTTCGGAATGGAAGCTTTTTGACTCGACGTAACACACGCATCATCAACAGCTTTCGCTCTGTTGTTCTTGTTGGAATTTTCTGAGAAAATTGATGGATTCGTGTAAATCCGTGCTTTTATGGTTGACAGTACACTACACCATCTGGATATTGAATCTAGGTTGACATTATAGAAATTCCCCAATCTATTTGTTTACTCCGTCTATGTACTTTTGATCCGTGACCCCAGTTACCCTGCTGGAGAGGCGGCCCCGCCCAACGCCAGCATATCAGAATTGTTCATTTGCCTGCATGTGCGCAGCTGTCTTACTGACCCATGCGTGTTCGTGCCCCGTTGGGTGAGCGTGCCTTGACTTGTTCTGCCGTGTTTGTCTGACCAATCAGAGTAAGAGACTGGCCTCGGTAGGGACGGTCGCAGTCCACGTTACTGTGCCAACATTCCACCCTCGAGTAAGAGACTGGCCTCAGAAGGGACGGTCGCACTCCACGTTACTGTGCCAACATTCCACCCTCCGGTGCCTGGTCTGCGACCCTGACAACGCACTGTGCCGGCCAGTGACATTTTTGAGAATTGGCTGTAAAAAAATCGATAAGCTGTAACACCCTTCCGGTGCCTAGCTGCCGTGCTACCCGAAGGAAGCATGAGGGCTGGGATCCTGCCAGGTTGCCCAAGCCTAGACAGGGGAAGTTGAGAGGCAGAAGTCGGGTTTGAACCATGGACCTTCTGGTCATTAAATTCGCGCTCTAGCCAATTGAACCGTCTCTCCCCCATGCGAATTGGTTGACGGACCTGCTGTTGAACTTGTGTAGTCTTGCTCACTTTTGTGTAAGCAGTACCGCAGAGTTTCGACCTCAATTTCCACTCAGAATCGTTGCATTTGTGCGTGACTCTAAGTTCTGTATAGGGGACCTGAACACAACTTGTGGATTGTATCCCCCTTTGAGAATCATCTGAACTTCAGGGTAATCGTCGCTGGGCTGGTAGACCGCTGGGGTTGTGGTAGCAGTCTTGGGGAAATAAAGTGGCAGTGGCATCATGTGGGCCGTTCTGACAAATCACCCCACTTTCTCAACGAGAACAGTGACCGGATGTGGGTAGTTAAATGTGACATTGTGAGAAGTGCGTCAGCCGTATAAGGTTTACGGAAAACACTGGGAGAATTTTTCGAGAACGTCTGAACCAGCGACATCTGGACGTCTAATGTGACATTTCATATGACATGACATAGGCGACTTCGTGCACATAACCATGGTTACGCACAATCAACTGTTGGCTACGGACATCCGCTGCAGCTATTTGCATTTGAAAGCGCGCCTCCACCTATAGATGCAGACTTCATGTTTCGACTAACTTGCATCTGTGGTTAATGTCAGAGGATCCCAATAATTCTGCGCAGTTTTTGTGCTGGTCACACACACGCAGTTTAAATGATCCGGGATCACTACGAGCATAAGGCATTTCACGAAGTATTCATGTGTTGTCCAGTCTTCGGGTATTTAGATGACCCAGTCTATAAGAGGGCTTTCTACCAGATGAAGCTTCCAATATACGAAAATATAAGCATTTCGATGGTTTCTTTACTTAGTGGGATATCGTGTATGCGTGCAGTCAACACTCCAAAAACGGTGCTGATCAACACGTTTACAACAACTAAAACGCCGGCTTCCTAGGCGGTGGTGGGATTTTCGGGATTTTCTCAGCTGTATTCTAAAGAGGATTATTACGATACGCGATATCCTTAAGTTAGGTTTGTCAATCGCCAGAATCAAATGCATCTTTAAACTGTTCACACTCAGTTTGACAAATTCTTAGAGTGACGTTAGAGCTAGATTAACAGTAGCTCGATGCCTGATGAGAGTTATCTTAGAAGTATTCGATAATAGTGGATCCTTCCTTTGTGTAGATCCCTGTGAAGTCCTGTCAACAGAACTTTTTCAAATCACTTGTGCTGCAGCCAGGCAGTAGTGACAAGATTTCATTCATTCTCACGTCCAAAAATATGCTTCATGATAAAGATGCAGAGCTTGAACAAAGTCATGGGATAAATACTGAAAACTGTTCACTGGTCACAAGAGTCCAAAAATGCAAGTGCAGCTTGGAATGAACAGCGATATAGGCATTATTCGTATACTGGACTGTTATGTCTAATAAATGTCAGAGTGGCATCTAACCTCTAAAGCATGTGATGATGGCATATTGGACACAGTCAATGAGAGAATGCACATCTGAAATCAGCTCCTATGTATGATACTCATCTTAACCACTTCTGCCTTTAAGGGGATCGTCGACTATATTGTATTTTGCCCCTGTCTCCAGTGTCTCCGCCCGTCAAAACGGACGGTTGCCGCTGTCCGTGGTCAACAAGATTGGTGTGCACGGTCGAACGGCTGCGTCACCCGCGGCTCGGACAGCCCCCATGACTCATCAGTCTATGCAGTAAATCTCAGTGGTGCATGAAAGCTCACGAAGTCAGCTAAACGTAACAGTGGCAGGACCCATGGAAAGCCTGAAAAACGCCCACCAGTCTTACCCGTTACCCTGCTCAGATATCTGGCGAGAGAGAGAGACAGAAAGACTAAGCACTGACGGTGCCTCTGTGGATGGTGCTAAACAGCTTGAATGATACTTCGTACAGCACCTTAGGTAGAAGGAGCACTTGCCGCAATGTCGATCACCCAAGATAAACCGGCGCATCTAACACTGGACCGACAACCACAGATAATAATGTCGTTTTGAGATTGTGGTTGCACCTCAAGTGAGGCTGCGCGTCGGTTCATAACAATTATTACTAGCCTGAGGCTTGTTAGAGAACTTGTGGTGAGGTGTCAATGGAATGACAGCGCAGAGAATGCAGAAGAAGAACAGAGACCATGAAATTCCACCGATGATTTATCTGCTTAAAAAGGCTTCAAGGATGTGCATGAGGATTCGGCGAATACCATTAATTGTATTGGTCAAGAGATGAAAACCAGATACGTCTCAAACATCTCTGCCCGAATTTCCACAACATAATTTTATGACCGGTGACTAAATGGCTATTTCACCGGACCAAACCCGTCGTGGTAACAGCTAACTGATATGGACAAGCATTGAGCAATCTGGGCAGAGCACTATTATGCGGTCACTACCGGAGATATAGGTCAAGCTTAAATTAATTTTGTGCAATCCGTGGTTCGCATCGCTTGTCTCGTGGTAGCAGAAATAAAAATAATCCAGGAAACAATGAAAGAGTAACGGCAGACTTTGGTGATGTACACGATAAGGGTCGTATGCGTTGTGTTCGGTTTTATGAGCATGACCTTAACTTAAGACCCGAGGTTAGCCATAATATTAGACGGAAGTTCATTCGTGTTGCGTCATTACAGTTGCCAATCCAGCGACGTTAGAAACAGTTAAGTGGAAGTGCGGTTTTGCACATGACTTACGAAGCGACCCAAAGCGTTTCGACTGTCTGAAGAGGAACAGGCGAGATTATGAGAATAAAATTTTATAAGTTTCCACGTGAGGTTTACATCGGTACCCCAAGGCAGTATTCAAAATTGCTACTTCTGGTTATGTTTAAACAAAGAATTGCCTGTAGGTTATAATTTTCATGGAAAAAATTCACTGGGTGATCTATTCGACTCACCGTTCAACT